TTATTATACATTTTCTTGCTTTAGGAAATGCGAACAAGAAAGAAAAAGCGAAAACGAAGGGGCGTCGTGATATCCAGAGCCATGGATAAAGCAATCAAAGAAGGTACAGTATATTATATAGTCAGTCAATCAATCAATCAATCTACTTATGATATGCATAATACAATTATCAATTGATGAAATAGTTAGCATATTCATTTGATTTCCCTATGAATTTGATTTGATTAAATTTTATATTCTATGTTGATTTGATTTGATATTATTGATTTTGTTATTTAATTTTATTTGCCATTAATTTGGATTTTTTATAACCATTAGTTAAGATTTTTTTTTTCTTTGATTTTGAATTCCCCCTCAGAGAGCAAAGTTAATTTTATGTTATAATGATTGCATAAAATTATAAAAATACCGTAAAATCTCGAATTGAAGCCCTGGGCTTCTTTTTTTTTTTTTTTGCGAACTTTGGATGGGCTTTTATCGAGATGGGCCTCTTTTCGAGATGGGCTTCTTCTAGAGACTACTTTTGCAAAGTAAAAAGGGGGTGGGGCGTCTTCTTTTCAAAAAGAATGCTGTAAATTTTGTGATTTTGTACTATAAAACAATAAATAAGGCCACTGTAAACATCAATCTGTACCTGGAGTGTATTTAACTGGCATTAAATCAACTAAACTACTGTATAAACTGAGCTTGTATTCAATTTATTTTGTTTTTTGAAATTCATATATAGTGTATGTACTGTACTGTCTCGAAAAGAAGCTCATGCTATTTTGAAAAGAAGCCCAGATGGGCTTCTTTTCAAGGTTAATTTTGCAAACTAAAGAGGGGGCTTCAACTTGAGATGGCTTCATCTCAAGATTAAGCCCACTGGGCTTCAATTCAAGGTTTTACAGTATGGGAACTGAAGCTGCATATTGCTGCCTCTGTTTGTGGATGTTGGTGCAATTGAAATACATACACAAGAAAAATTAATTCAAAATGTTAATATTGATTACTCTACATGATTTGATTGTAATTCTATTATTTTTTTTTTATATTACAGTGTTTGATTTAGTTGTTCAAGATTTTATTATGGTCTGGTACAGAGACCTTGGCAAGGATTATACCACATTCATATCAGCTCTGGAGTAAGTTAATATTTGTAAATATTTAGTCTACCAAAACTTTGGTCCATATTCCTTAAAGCAGGCAAGATGAGCAACAGATAACTAGTGATGGCCATGAGATGGGGTAAATTCTTGGGTCACAGTAGCAGGTGCAGAGTTAGGGTCAGAATTTATGGCTATTAAAACTCTTCCCCTTTGGATTTAAGTCTGACAGACAATCTCTATAAAAACCACATAATTTTCTATATACCACTATATATTTTTTTATTATTATTATACTGTGTAAGTATTCAAATAGTTTTTATCTGGTTTGCTTAAATAATTGTTGATAACATAGACAAAAGCTTACAGTAAGTTTACATCAAATTGTGCTTGGTTTATTATGGATTAAACAGTTCTACAATTATTATACATAATGTGGTTTATGTTTTTTTCATTTTAAAAATTTATTCTGCAAATTTTGCAGAATAAATGTGATAGTTTTTCATGACAACCTTACAAATCACAGACACATCTTCAAACTATTTATTCAGTTATTTATCATTTTCTATAATATTTCAGAGATGATATGTGGGAGCTGATTACCAACTTGGTTATAAGGTTACAGAAAGTGGATATGGTAAGTTTCAGTAAGTTTTGACCAATCGTAGAGCCTCACCTCCAAGATGAAGGCGAAGAACCACGTCTGTTGGCAAATTATTGCTAGGCCCTCACAAAAAAGACCTTAAACCAAACATACATTATAGGCTGTATTAGTAGCAACTGTATGTTCACTGAACCATAAAGGCTTGTGGGTTTCTGGATCAATTTCACTGCTATCCTTGTTTTTCAGCTTGAGTAATTAACTTGCAATTAACCATTTATTCCTGTAACCATGTTTATGGGAAAGGGTGTTTCCAAGAATAGGGAAGAAACAATGGCATTTTGTAGAGTATCAGACCAGTGACCAATCAAATTATGTTATTCAATAGGCGTGCCAGAATACATGCATTTCTTAGAAGAACGCATGTTTATGTTTACGACCGCACACTTGGCCATGTTTCTCCACAAGTGGCTGTAATTTTGTGGGACCTTAGTAACGGTATCCAAGGTGGTGGGGGTGGGGTGGAGCTTAGTGGAACAGTCCATTTTCCCAAGTGTGAGTAATACAATGTCTATTGGTACATATTCATACAGAGTTAGTATACAACAAAAGTATTGATCATACTAAGCTGATTTCATTCATCTAGGTGCGGTTCATGGCCCTGGATGTTACTGAAAAATTATGTGATCACTTCAGGGAACTTCGGGAGACATCACCAAGGTAACTGTAAGATGTGTATAAGAGACA